TTAGAAAGACCTTACGGTATACTACAACTTTCATGTGGGATCGAAAATCCATTTATGACTCTAAGTGGCTCGAAACAGTGTGTTTTTGAGGTTGTTTGCACTGTATTTGGGATCAATCTGTTGTTTTGTAAAATTCATATAAAGTAGATGGATTATTCAAATGAGATTATTCTAAAACTAATAGACTCTCATGATACCAAACTACAACTTTCATTTAGACAATATAATCTGGATTGATCTCTAAGTAAGATAAAAATGTTTAAAAATAAGAGGGATGGAAACGGTTGGATCGAAACAGCATAGGCTAAGTTTTATGTTTGAGTTTTCAATTCGTATCAGGATGTCCTTCTTGAAGTTTACGTTGTTTAAGTACATTAAGACATAAGTAATTTTATTGAAATAATTATGTTATGGTTTTTATGTCTTGAAAATAGTAACTCGTTCATGCATTCGTTAGGCACGCGGGCAAGTCAAACTTGATCGTGAATTTCGTTTGATCGTGCGTTAAATATCAAATTCGGTTAAGGTATGGATATCCTACCTCACTTGACATGGGGATAGCCATTTGTATAAGGCTTTCTAATCCGAATACATTGGTTCTACATTCTCAATGTGCTCATTAAATGCTATTAAGCTTTTGTTTCCTTTCGAAATATGATGTACATTTTTATTTGAAGCATGGATCGTTTGGATCATTTTACTTGTTAGATTGCATCTATTGTGAACCATTTTATTATAGACTCAATATTGGGGGCACCGATACTGAGATGTTTTCATGGTGGCTAAAACGATCATGGCATTCTCACTTATATAGTTCTTAAAAGTGAACTTGATTATGTACTGGTTGAATAGATGGCGTATGGGTCGATCCTAGGAACCGTTATGGGATAATAATATGTGGTTGTGGTTAAATCTACGAAGAGGATTTTTGTGTTGTGCTCGCACCCCTTTCTTCACTTATGCCCGAACGGACTGATCATCCTTTGGGAACAAACTGTACTCGTGATGTGGTTTGGTCTTCGGATCCTTGGCAGGCCTTCGAGACATTTTGACTTTCTTTTGGATTATCATTTAACATTATAAATTATTTTTGGATTTAGATTTGTTATCCCATATTCGTTGTTGTTGTTGGTTTTTTTGTCATGGTCGGGGTCTTTAAAACTGCTTAGTGATGCCTCATTTTACTCATCTTGAAAAGCTTCCACGACCACTATCTACTTGGTATATGTGGACCTTGTTGCAATGTTTGACTTTGAAGGACTTGTGCTATTGAATGCTAAATATGTTTATGGTCATGAATCATGAAGGAGGAGATTAACAGCACATTATATTGTTACTATATGCTTTTGATTTTTGGGATTTCTCTTGGAGTTCAATGGTTTCTATCCAATTGGTTGGGTCTCATTTTTTTAAAATTGAACCTGTTAGTGTTGAAATTTTAGGTTTCATAGTCCTTAATTTGTTTTATGTGATGTAGGTGAGGAATAAGAAGGTTTAGGAGTTTTCATTTTTCTTATTTTGTTGTAATTGTTGATAGTTAATCCATTAGATGGGGAAATGGACATGTCATTAGTGGATCCAACAAAGGATTTATGTTACTAAAATGCTAGCGAAGGAGGAGAAAGTAACCGGAGAATATAAGCCCAACCATAGTGGTGTAAAGGGTTGGGCTTTAATTTCTTTTTATTGTTATGATAATTTGTACATATTCCTTGATCGGTTTGTAGGTAAAAGGATGTATATAATAAATGTTTAAAAATTCAAGAAATTTTTTTTTCAAAAAGATTGTCCAATATATTCAAAATCTAAAAATCCATTTTTTTCTCATCTTTAAATTTTTCCTTTAGCATTTACCACTTGTTTCTAATAACTTCAAATTTTAGTGCAAAATAAATAGTACTAAATTTAGAGGCTGTTTGGCGGTTGCTAAATTATTTGGTGCAAAATGATTAAGTGGTCAAAATGGTTAAGAGACTCTCATGATAAAGTGCAAAATGAAATATAATTGTTTGGTAATTATTTACAATGAATTTAGGGCGCTGAATGGTTAAGGGAGACCTAGGATACAAAATTGTTTAGAGGGTTTTAGAACCATTAAGAGATAGATTTTTTTTTATCAAACATGATTCACCTCTTCACGATTCAGAAGCGATCGTTTAATGGAACTATTAAGACGTAAACAAACAACCCCTTAACTTTTATTACTAGAAGGTACTCGCGCAATACAGCGAGATCCATCTTGATTTTAATATTTCGTTTTATTCTTTATCTCAATTGATGTTATAATATGGTCTTTGTGATTTTGAAAATGCGATAATGTTTTTATTTTTGAATAAAATATAAATTTGAAGATATCATAAAATTTTGACAAAAATATATCGATATTAGTACCAAATTAACTATTTAAAATTTCTTATTTTTTGTATAAACTTTTAGTTCAAATTTTTATTATAATTCAATTTAGGTTCAAAGTAATTTATATTTGGTTTAATACTATACTTTATTTATAAATATAATAATTAATTATTTTGTTAGATTTTGATCATTATCATAACTATATTTTAAATTTTTTATATTTCAAAATGAGATTTTTATCCTCTATTTGATTATGTTTATCATCGGTTAGTTATATGAATTCAAACATGAAGCTTTAATAAGTTGTACTTATGAACAATTTACTTGTAATCTTGAATTTTAAGTAATATACATGAATAAACAGTACTTCATGCATAAAAAATAATTTTTATAATTTTTGTCAAACGCTCTATAATATAGTATAGATTATGTAAGTAATTAATAAACAAAATGTAACTTTGATTTAAGTACAATCTGAACCTGAAAACATTTATTCGGCTTGGGCCTTCAAAGATTTGATTTTCAAAACGAAGCTCATTTTAGCCCAATTTGCTTTTGCCTCTCACACTCTTGTCTTCACTTGAGTATAAGTAGCTCCTCACCCATCGGAATTAGGGTTTCATTTCCTCCTCCTTCAACTGAATCCCGCCGGAGTAACTCTTGCACGCTTGCTGGTAAGTTCTTTATCTGATATATATAAAGTAAACGACGGTTCATCGCGTTAACAACAACGTTGAGTGGTTGTATTATCGTTAATTTAAAACTTGCGATTAAAACCAACGCTCGATCGTGCGATATCGTTACACTTACCTCGGGCGAAGATTGATTTGAATTGTCTTGACTTCTTCCTCGATCTTAACATGTTCATTATCGGCCACGCTCTTATTTGTGAGCTGGTTTCCTCATTTACGTACGTTTTGTCGACGAGAAGCTACAATAGAATAATGTTCACTTACAAATACAGATTGAGCTTCTGAAGGAAGAGGAAAAAAAACTCAAGTTGCATATACAAGGAGACTTGGTGTTAAATTTAATCGTGAAAGTTTTTATCTCGTCCGTTGGGAGAATTACTACTTATGTAATCATAGAAGTGGTTTAAATTCTTGTTTGCATCTGATGTTTAGGTCAAATTTGTAGTTGCTTTGTGGACCTACAATGGTGTCGGGAAAGAAGACGGTACATCTCTCATCTATGATTGTGATTGTGTATATGTGGCAGTGTGATGTTGTTGATAAATTAATTGTTGTGATGTGTTTATTGTATGCATATGCAGAAGAAGACTCATGAAAGCATCAACAATAGATTGGCTCTTGTAATGAAGAGTGGAAAATACACTCTTGGTTACAACTTACAAGACCGTGCTTGAGTCTCTCAGGAACTCAAAAGGTGGATTGAAGTTTAATTTTTTTTTTTAAATTGCCATTGGCATGTACATCTCTGATTTGTTGTGTGAATTGTAGGTAAACTGATAATCATTTCCAACAATTGCCCGCCTTTAAGGAAATCAGAAATTGAGTACTATGCGATGCTTGCCAAGGTTGGCGTCCACCATTACAATGGAAGTAAGTGCAGCATTGCTATTTATATTATCTCTGTCTGGCTCTAGTCCAGTAGTCCTGCTGCTGAAATCTTGTAAAAAGTATAATGTTATTTAAGGTCTAGTTGTTGGAAAGAAAAACAATTACTTTTTTTGCTCCTTGAAATTGCAATAGTTTAAGGTGGTTTAACTAATATTAATTGCTGAATTTATTATGTTTAGACAATGTGGATCTTGGAACTGCATCTGGGAAGTATTTCCGTGTGTCATCCCTAAGTATCATTGATGCAGGTAATTAATTATGAGTATTTAGTTTAGTTATTATATCTAACATGTGAATGGTTGAATTTGATTTGGGTTTATTATGATTAATTGTTGTAGGTGATTCTGATATCATCAAAAGCCTGCCGGGAGACCAATGATTCTAAGTTTTGGCCAAGTATAGATTGGGTTTTAATTAGTAGAGTTGGGTAAATGTTTATTAATTATGTGCTTCAATGAATTTGTATTTTGTCTTTTAATTTTATTCAACAATGAATTGGTTTGGAACTAATCTGAACAACAAAACGAATCTTAATTGAAAAACGGGATCTGGGCACATGTGAGTGGTCCATTATATATTCATTTCTTGAGGTTGAGGTTGGAGTTGGAGGTATTACATTTGAGAAGGTGGGTTATTACTTTTCTTCTTCAAACCAACAAACACCATTTGACTTGTAATAGTAAATCTATTTAAACGTTTATTCTATTTTCATTTTCGAATCAATTAAATCTATTTAAACTTATATGATTGCAAATAGCTTACAGCTAAAGTTGTATTTAATTGGACATGCACAACAAATATCAAAAGTACCATTTTAATAAAATAAAATTTGGAGCACATTATGTTGGAAATGCTATTAAAATCAATCACATTTTAATAAAATGAAATTTATCCAAAATATTCTAAAAAATAAACAATTTCTCAACGAAGATGGATTCAAAAAGAGATCTTTGTATTTATTTTACCTCTAGAAAAATAGTTTGCGAGAATAATGCAAGTATCTTGACAGGGGTAAAAATGAAATACATTATTTTTCAAAATTCAAAACAAACAAAAACAAAAACAAAAACAGGTAAACAAACAATGCATTTCAAATCATCAATATACCCCATTTACATACGTACGTATAAACTAATTTATTTCAGGTACAAAAAGCAAAAACAAAACCAGATCCAACTAGTTGGGGTTGGCTACTCATCCGAATCTTCATCACCGCCGAAGATGGAGAACTTATTGTAGAGAAGGAAGAGTACGAGGAGGAGGACAAGTGCAACACCGACGGGAGATCCGCTGGCACGGTGGATAGAGTTTGGCTCGCCGGTGGAGAAGATGTTGGAGACGAAAGATCCAGAATCGGAGGAGAGGTATTGGATGACTAAGAGGAGAATGATGGGAAGAAGTAAGAGACCTAACGGGCTCAGCAGCTCTGCTATGAACTCTGTCAAGGCTTCGCCTCCGTCACCAAGGAACATAGGGATCCCAATCAAGACGACGACAACCACGGCGAGTAGTATTCCATAGGGCGCTCCTCTTCTTTCCTCTATCATTTTTTGTATCTTGTGTGTGATCTGATTCTGATTCTTATTTTGATTGTAGGGTTTTTATATTCCGGGAGGATGTGGAGATGTGAATGGGTAGTGTTTGTCTTAAAATAGATAGGAATGGTGCTGCTGCTGTTTCAAAAAGGACGCGCTTCCCTTTCACATATATACGTATACACATTTTGTAACCTGATTTATGGGTTACAACTTGCAAGATTTATAAAACCCTAATTCTAGTATTACAAAGAAAATGATAAGAACTATGAAACAAGTAGTTTACACAAATAAGTAGTTCAAAAATCAGTTTTCATAACTACGAGTGCAGTGTCTGATTGGTTTGAGTTTGACTTAAAATGTCAAAAGCAACAGGATATCTCATGTTCAAATCCAAAAAGGAATAAAAATCTCTTTGTGGCCACGAAGGTTTAAATGCGATAATTCCGGACTATCTGCAAAGTAAGTGGTCGTACTAGGATTAGTCGGCTCGTATAATAGGTTGGATATCCAGGTTAATCAAAAAAATGAGCTTTCACCTCCCTATATCTCATGAGATCGTCAAACGTAAAATTGTGTGTGTGAGAGAGAGAGAGGTAGTTCTCTCTTCCAATTTTATCAAGGGATGGCAACAGGAGATGAAGAAAGAAACAATATTTATGAACATTGTAATCTTTTTATGAATGAGAAAATGAAGGACTGAATTCTATTGGTTAATTGGTTTCCTTTCTTTCTTACGTCATATCCACTCTCCATAACCCTAAAAAATAAAATGAAAATGAAAAGAAAATAGAAATAAAAAATGAAAGATGTTTTCACTTTTCAATTAAATAATAAATACTTTTATAATCATCTTAAAATACGTATATTTATATTATATTTTAAAGCATCTGATAAAAACTCTTGAAAATCATTTTTTATGCATAAAATACTGTTTATTAATGTATATTACTTAAAACTCAAGATTGCAAATAGATTGTAGTTAAAGCTCTATATCTGAATTTGTGTAACTAACTGCGGATAAACATAATCAAATACAAGATAAGCATGTTATTTTTTTAAATATAAAAATATAAACTGTAATTAGGATAATTATTTAGTTCTAACAGAATACTTAATTATTATCTTTATAAAATGTTATATTATTAAACCAAAAATAAATTATTTCCTTATTAAATTATAATAAAAAAATAAATTAAAAAAATTACATAAAAAATGATAAATTTTAAATAGTTGATTTGATATTAACATTGATATATTTTTTTAAAAAAAGTTATGATATCTTGAAATTTATATTTTATTTAAAAATAAAATCGTTATTACTTTCTTAAAAACACATAAAATCGTATAATAACATCGACAGAGATAAATAATAAAATAGAATATTACAATCGAGACGCATTTTATTGCATTGCGCAAATCCTCCTCTAGGTTATTATTAAAACATCCACATGTAAAAGTAATCATGATCGCCATATCCTTGCTTTAATTCATGCCACCGAACCTTTTTATAATTTCAAAAATTACATTTTTAAGCACATAAATAAATGTACATGTAGCAATTTGGGTTTTACCATCATCTATTTAAAAGTATTTTTTAAAATTCATTATTCATGGGTGGGTCAGTAAATTCTCAAATTCAACAACAAAACCTCAAGACCACCAAACCACAGTTTAAAGATTACCATGCCACCTGAGAAATTTAACATTATTATGTATGTATGTATGTATGGATGCATGCTGGTCTAGTGGTGAGGAATTCCATCCTTTAGCTTTCGCTCTTCTTAATCATCCCCCATATTAATTTCAGACAGACTATATGTATATGAGCATGACCTGCCTCTGCCTTTTGTTTTCAGTGTCAATGGGCTGCACCTTCTATCCTTAGCCCGCCCCATTTTACAAATAATATCTTCCTATTTACAAGTCATTACCCAGAAATCATCATCATCATATCAATTGGTAAGTACCAATAAAATTGATAGCAACTACATACCAACCAAATCATTTTTTTGGATCAAAACTTAGCAGATGCCACTGGTTTACACGAAAAGAATACCACCACATAACAAACCCAAAATCTTCAACTATATCTCTACTCTGTAATGCCAGAACTTGTGCTATCCAAATCAACYGAACTCCCCATGCCTGTATCTTCTTCCACTTCACTGTCTTCATCACCACTAACCTCTGCATTTTGACGCCCAAGTTTTGCCATCTGTTCTGCAAGCAGTTTGTCCTCCCGTTCACTCACCTGCCACAAACAATTCATGCATCAACTACCAAACCCAAATATTGGTCTTAAACCTACTATCAACAGTTCCATGCAACCCCACCTAAAATACTCGTTTCRCCTTGTAATATTTATCCTTCACTTCAATATAAACTTATCTTTGATATAAATGTTTTCTAATCATATTGTGCTAATCAATCCTAGTTTCGAAACAAAAAGCCAATGAAACCACCACCTTGCCCTTGCTATGATGGGATCAAAAAGAAACCTTCAGTTTTTGGCCTGAAACAGTGACTGAGATAYGGACATATGCCAACCAAATAACTAATTCTAGTAGTAGTGTGATTAAATATGTTTTACACATTAGTATTAAAGCAAGCCAAATAGATAACGTCACATGYTAATTACGAATTAAACCTTCCAAGCAGTGAAAACCTACAATAATAGTTGTCATGGCACTGGAGAGAGGAAGGAGGAAAATTTAATACTTACTGCTCGAGGTGACTCTTTTATGGTCAGTTTCCCTTTATGACGTTCTATTGCAGCAGCACAAGCAGAAATTGCTTCAGTAAGAACTCTTATCCCTTGTTCCTATACAAATTCAGGAAGTTCCATCAACAACCTCTAATAGAAACCTATTGCAATATCAAATGCATCAGAGATGATGAAATTTTTTACAAGATAACTAAATAAATGGTCCTTGCACATGGCTAACCAAAATTATGACCATAGAAGCACTTGAAGATCCTCAAGGGTTGAATCTTATATCTAAGCCCTTGATTGGGAAGAGGTTAGCAAATTATGTTGAATAATATTTTGCTGGATGTGAGAATAAAAGAACAAATTAATGCAATATATTTTTGAAGCTGAAACATACAGAAAAATAGCTTCACATTCTTGATGATATGACGAGTACTCTCAAGGGTAGTTGCTATACATTGTAATGGTTGACATGCGATTACCGACTCTCATATCAAAATTAACCATAAGACTTTTGTCATCTTTATTACTTTTGTCATCTTTATTACTTTTGTCAGTATTTTTTTTATGTTATTATGTGGGGTTACCTTGTCCAAAGTCTGAGTATTAAGAACATAAGATGGTGGAGCAACCAATTTAATTTTCACCAAGCAGTCTTTGGTGCCAACCGCTTCAGCTCGTCGCATAGCTTCCTGTTACAGAAACAAGTCTTCAAAACTCTGCGTTCTTTAATATAAATTTTTACTACAAATAAATCAAACCACTCCAAAAAAATGAACAAATATGTAGATACAAGAATGAGACGAGTGGCACCTTGATGTGAAGGACACCATTAAATGGGAAACATTTCATCTCAATATCAGCACGAATTTTCAACGGCTGTGGCGTCATCCATCTTCTGATATTCCTACCAAAGCCTCTTTACATCTTCTGAAATGGCAGGAACCACCTTTGCCACCTACAAAATGGGAATGCTAAGGGAAATTACGATGAACAGCATGGTTAAAACACCTCAAYTTGCATAATTACCTCCTTTCCATCTGAACCAATTTCTCTGACAACACGAGTGAGTGACTTAAGCACAGAATCAGGATCATTAACAATTGATTTGAATGCCTGAAAGCATGAAAAGAAAGCATCAATATAGATAACTGCAGAAAAGAGCAAAGCTTCACAAGTCAACAAGATCTAACCTCAAATGCATGACCATATTTTCGGTACAAAGGCCAGCCAACATGGATGTATAAATCCTGTCACAGATAACTTTGTATTTCATAAGAAACCCCTACGCAGAATAAAAGACCTACAGATCAATACTAATCACTAATTCTTTGGCTAGGACGGCTATCTATACAAGCTTTTCTAACATATAAATGTTAAATAAGCAAAAACAACCAGGAAATGGAGAGGGATAAAGCAAAATAAGGCTAATCAAATACAGCCAGCAACAACAACAACTCAATGTATAAGAAGGAATCAGGGGACAATGAATATCACTTTTGAAACTGAAAAAGATTCCAAAGGACGTCCAAAAACAAGGCCTAGGACAAAGAATATTCACACAACCCAAAATGAAAGGGGAGAAAGAAAGAGAAAAAACATGGAATTTTCATTAGGGTAAGCATATTCTGGAAGTAATACATCCGCAAAACTTTGCAAGGATCAAAATAAGAGTTATATAAGGTGAAAGTAACCGCTTTTTCTCTTATGAGCAATCAGATAGAGAAAGAGCATGTATGTGTAGAATCTTATATATCTCGGCTCCTTTTTTCTCTTAGAATTAACGGCTTTCATCTTCCAAATATCTCATTCCTTGAGACTCCACACGCTAAATAGATCGTGTGTAACGGAAGTGGCTATGGAAAACTCTGGTGCTAATTATATTGGTTTCATTTAATAATACATGCTAGTTTCAATACAACATAGCACAACAAAAAGAATCTTACAGGGTGTTGAAGGGGGATCTTTAAGGGAAGGCATGAAGCTTAATTTTTTAATATTTTGGTGATCATACACACAAGTGGCACAACCATAAATCAAATCACAAATCAGCTGAGTTACATTAAAATAATTGTCTTGAAAAATGGGCCAGCTTCCAAATTTGCCTCAAGTATCTCTACATGATGCTGTTAGAAGAGAGTACATTTTCTGTTGGGTTAGAGAGATAAGGCGTTTAAAGCACATCTACTGTTATTGTCTTGCACTTGTAGGGAGCTATATATAAGTTCTGCAACTACACTAGTTTGACACTTAAGTGAATTATTATGCTGGTATGGTGATCTTCTTGAGTCAAGTCTCTAGTGTTTGTACTTTCAAGCTAAGGTCTAAACTCAAAAAGGTGAACCTGGTGTAGCAAGGCCTCTCGAACTTTCTTGAGTTTAAGTCTTTAGACTTTGCTCTTAGTGTTCATTGCGTACAGAACTAATTAATAGTT